ATTTATTATTCAGGAGATAAACTTGCAATCTTTTGGGTGAAAGTGGTGTTGTTCCACTTCTTGGACTGAGCAATTGCACTGGACAGACCATGGACACCTCCTGAATTCAAAAGGAGATGAGAGATTTCACCCCAAAGCTGAGGTTTGGAATAATCTTACACTGTGATAGTGCAGGCACATCCTAATGCACAATATAAGTATTTTTTAAATGCTGAAGGCATTCATTGGTGCATACATCCTTCTGTAATTCAGTCTCCTACATTTTTGGTTTCCTTAACCACAAAAGCTTCTTAACTCCATGTTTTCCTTCACAAACGTATTTATCAAGGAGTGTGCAGGAGCAAGGAGTAAAATTTGACACTTTGGTAACCAGCACTGTTCAACAGAACTCGAGCTGGTGCCCACAGGGCACAGTGTGAATTATTTCATTAATGCCAATAGAGACAGGAGACATTTACCATTTTGTCAGTGTTATAAATCACACCACCAACAGTTAAGTGAATATAAGTTCATACAAGGCAAGTGGACAATGATTTACAAGATCAATAAAAGAAGGAACAAGAAGAACTTGCCAGCTATATGCCAAATAAACTGATACACTTTGGGCAATAGTCTCAAAAGCTGCCTTTTTAAAAGCAAGTGCTACACAGGCATTTATTCCAGCAACAGTGTGAGCTCCTTAAAAATCAATTTTTTTACCCTTCACTCCCAGAGTTTTCCCCTGATCTGCATTGTTCTCTCTGACAAAAGACAGGCATGGCAATTAGTCACAGCTATCCAAGCTATCAACACCCCAGGGCTTTCTCATCCAAATGACTCACCTTGAACTTTTTCTTTACATTTTCAGTCTCATTGTTTCTTCCCTGTTTGGAAATACAGCAGTATACAAAAGCAAGACGGGAAGCAGAAATAAACAAGTTTAAGTGGTACAGTCAGTTCTTAATTTCGTTCTATACCAAAGGGTGAGCTCATCGTTGTAATTTTCATCTTTATTCTGGTTCATACTGCTCCTTTCTCTCTTTATCTGTAAAATACAGGTTTGCAATTATCTGAAACATCATCAGGATTTCCTGTATGGGAGAGCAGGTCCTTAATACAAGGACAAAGTATTTTTGCAGTGATTTGAGAGGAAGAAAAAATGCCAAAAGGTGTGTGAATGTGCTTTCTTATGCATCAAGAAAATCTTCTCAATATGAATAAAATCCCCCAGAAATTCTCCAAAATATTATTTGTAGCAAAAGTTAAGGTAATATAATTAGATGGTTTACAAAAACTAAGAACTCCTGAGAGTTCTACCATCAGCAGTAACTATTTTTTTTTTTCAGTAAATAGAGTAAAATTCTCATTTCTGATTTTAACTTTGGATAATCTCAGCATTTGATCTGGCAATGTGTGTTTTTAATCTCATTTATTATTGAGCTACGGAAGAGTTGTGCACAACTCACACATTGCTTGAGCAGTCAAGCAGCAACAAAGCTGGGCACCAGAGAGCTTGCCAAGCATGCAAGGAGTTCTATTTTCAGGTATAAACACCAAATTTATGGAAAGATACATAGAAAACTTGGTGCCAATGCCTTTACAGAATCTTAAGAGCTTTAGAAAGTGGATCCATGGGGAGGGACAGCTTTGATCTTGTCAATTTTGCTTAAAATACCTTTTAGAGAACTGAGGACCTGCTGCAGGCTGTGGGAGCTCTGCTAACAAGTTTTGGTGTAATCAGATTTTAATTTACTGTAATGAAGGCAAGGAAGGCTCTGTCCTTAAAAAAGCACTGAGTTAAACACCTTCAAAGAGCCAAGTTTAGAAGTCAGTGTTCAAAAATACGACAGAGACAAGTGTTCTGACATTACAGTTCTTTATTTGTTTTTGAGTCCACGATCTATACAGGTATTTACAAGGCATGGAAATGGATAACAGCACAAAATACAATTGAGGTATAAGCTAAGAGCACAGTATGTCATGTTTCAATAAATATAATTCAAAATTTGTAAACTAAGTGACCAGATAGATGCATCTTGTCTACTAAAACCATATAAAATATCTGTTAAATCTCACGTGAGGTAGAGGACAGTTTTGTGTGTCATGTGATGCAACCACAGCAACGCTGACAATAAGACTGTACATCATTGGCAAAGTATTAAAAATTGTTGAATGCACTGGTCGTTTTTCACAGGCCTTTCCTATGGTTTCAGTATTGTCACTCAACCTGTTGCCTTGAGCTAACACGGACTCAGCTGTTTTGCAGCTACTTTCTGTCATTTGAGAGAATTACACTGGCATGTCAACAGCAATAAATACTTTAGAGTGTGAGGATGAAAACACAAAAAATGTTCTGTCAATCACAGAAAGCAACGTGATGGCAACGAAATATTTCAGACCAACTTTTTATTATTTCCTAGAATTCGCTTAAATACAGTACAGCTGTGCTTTCCTTTAAGTGAGGTATCTCTTAGAAGAAAAAAAATTCAATTGATATCGTTACACTTAATTAATTTTCAAATAGCAAAATTTTATACCGTGTTTGCTGTGCTTGATGAAGTGCTTAAAACTCATTTTTCAAGCATTTTTCAACTGAACCACTAACCCTGAAAAAAACAATTTGCTAAGTAATGGAGACACACTATAAAATCGTCGTGCAATTCGTAAGCAATAACTGCTTTCACAAAAGCTAAAAAATGACTGCATTTTTTAAATAGATATATGCAGCAAATAGAAAATTCTACAAGCTTTCTGTAAAGAAAACCAATGAACACTCACACTACAAATGTAATGAGCAAAAAGAAAACTGAAATTTGCAGCTTTCTGCTGCTTACTATCAATGGCTTAAATAAAATTACCAAAATATTGCAAGCACAGATTAATAGGTAGGAGAAATCATGTCTTTTGTAGACTTCACCATGTTATAGAAAACTCTGTTGTGTGGATTAATTACACGAATTAAGTGCAGAAAAAATACAAAGTTGTTATCTTTACTGACAATCAAAATATATACTCTACAAACAAGTGAATTTTAGGAAGCTGACCACTACACCATTTTGAGGCCAACTTCCCAACTAATGCTAGGAAAGGTTTCCAAAAATTTCATAACACATTCTAGCTATCCCCTCCCCCAGTACAAAACAAGAATGTATGAATAAAACATTGTGACTTCTAAAATACAGGCCAAGACTTATTTCTTTTCAGGCCACCAGTAGCTTTATGCTCCCACCCAACTTTTCCTACATCACTAATTGCATTATGCCTTTATTATGTACAGATGGTTTTACACCTAAGCTATCAATATATTAAATATAGAATAAAATTAGTTTAAGAATGTGAAACAGAACTACATTCATCTAAATACTCCAACTGAACGATATGCTTTACAAAAACTAAACCACAAACTTAACTAAATTTGGAGATTTAGATAAAATCTCTTTCATTGAGGGACACCTGGTTACACTGTGAGTGAGGTGTTTCCAGACTGCCAAAATTACAAGAGTTTTACCCTCTAAGCTATCATATTTTATTGATTAAAGTATACAAAGCATGTTAAACTTCTCTTTTATAAAAGTATAGGAGCAAATTAGGTAATCACCTCCGATCCTACTTATTCCAAAAGGTGCACTAGGCAACTTCCACCTCGGTGTAGGTGTTTAAGAAAGCAACTTTCAAATTATAGACAATTTTAGGGCTTTGTTCTACAGGCTTCATGTCACATCTACCTGGGAAAAATTACTTCTTGCCTGAAAAGATCAGTAAGCAATGACTGAAGGCAAACCAAATAATACATAAAATGAGCATGCTATGACTAAAAGCAAAGACCTAATGATGGGTTTAGTCTCTACCATTAAGTGTGCACTTAAGTGAGGGCCCTCAAGTGTGCATTCCAAGTTCCTATGTCAGGCTGTAAAATTAACCATTCAACAGAATTAGGATAAGGTAGCAAAAAAAAAGTCAACATATATTTTTTCTAAAACTTAAGACCATTATTTACAATTTACTAAAAAACTATCTTTCAGAAACTGTGAGCACACAAAGGTCTATGGCACATTTATGTATACATTATTACTTAAAATCAGTATAAAATTAAGACTACACATATGAAAATTGTTTATGTTATGTCAAGAGCCTGAAAGTAGTATTTAAGAATTTTAAGAGGATTACAATAATTTAAAATGCATTCTAACTTTAGATTAACTGAATGGAATATTTACAAAGCTACTTTTAAGGTCATTTTATAATAAATGTTCCATTGGCTTTACCAGCCAGATGTTCAAAAATAATTAGGAGGCCTTATCTGCAATTGGAATTGGTGAAACTTCCTATAGCTGCTGGAGTTCTTGCAACAGTGAAAATTTTGGTACAAAGGATGGCCACCTTTTTATTGGTGCAAAGGATGGCCACAGCATTTCCAGAGCCTCCAGCAGTGACCCAAGGGCTGGCAGAGGCACAGGAACCTGGGCTGCACCAGCCCTCCAGGGCCACTGCTGAACAAGGGGAACATCTGAGCAGGACAAGAACACAGACAAGACCTGAATGGAAATGGAATATTCACTATCCTACTAATAGAGTAGTCCCAGCAGGGTTCCAAACATCCCACAGCTAAGCTATGAATACAGTAGTGCATCAGGCACTGCAGCTGTGAGAACGAGCTGTGGCTTTACCCTGCCCCACAACCCTGAAAAGCAGCACAAAGGAACTCTCTCCATCCTTCAGCAGCAGCCAGGTGGGATTCCCCATTCCCCAGCCCACCCAACACAGGCTCTGCCAGTCCCACTGGACAGCCCCAAGCTCTGCTCCCCAGCCATCACACCTCCAGCAATCCCCCTGCCTGCTCTCCCTGTGCCACGGGTCTGGTGGCTGCACAACAAAACATTCCTGGTGTTTTTAAAGCAAGAGGTGCACACACAACCAGGAACATTTAGTCAGCACCTTTCCCTCCAAACCAAGCTGCAAAGACAGGCTTTTTCCTTTTTAGTTTGATTTTTTCCTCTTTTTTTTTTCCTTTTTTTAGGAACATTTAGTCAGCACCTTTCCCTCCAAACCAAGCTGCAAAGACAGGCTTTTTCCTTTTTAGTTTGATTTTTTCCTCTTTTTTTTTTCCGTTTTTTTTCTTCTTTTTTTTTTTTCCAAAGGAAAAATTTGGAGATGGGACCTGAAGAAAAATATAATCCTGGTATACTTTTCCAGCAGGGGGTGGAACTAGATGATCTTTAAGATCCCTTCCAACCCAAACCATTCTGTGATTCTCAACACTGACAAAGAAATTTTATTTTTATCTAACTTGCTTTACTTGTCAGTGTAAATATGGCACAGAGCTCATAAACAAAATTGTACAGATATTAAAAAAAAATCCTAATACTCTGTGTCATTTAATTTACCACTTCATTTCTCATTCAATTTAAAGATATGTGCAATTTTATCTTTCTCTGTGATATTCAGTCTTGTTACATCACTAACAGAGAAACAAAAAAGAACAGGAGTTTTCAGATTTACTAGTTGAGGAAAAAAAAAAATCAGTGTAGGCTTTTACTAGTGGTTTCATCCAAAATTAACTGAATTATTAAGAGAATATTAACCTTAAGTACCTCAAAACCAGAAACTAAAAGCACAAGTTAAAATTATGTCATGAGACACTAGAATTACTAAAATATTCCTATCACTGACATGATCAGCTGACATCTGCCAGCTGTATCCAATTTTTTGGAGAGAAGTGCAAAACAGTTTTTCTTCATCCAACTTTAGCCATGCATTTAACCCACTAGGAACCAGACTTCAGAAGTACTCAGACACTATATATATACATAAAACAGTAATTCTGTACAATTACACATTTCCCAATGTTATAGCTTAACAAACATGCTGTATTTTCTTAATTCATGGTAACCCTACCATGCCATTCAAATACAGAGACTATCAAAATGATTTTTCAAAGTGCCATATCTCAGAATTTTATATTTTAAGCTATGATCACAATGTCAGTTAAGGCCTGTTCTATATGATGAAAGAAAAATCCACAAGTTGGCAAGAAGCTCAAAGTGTGGAGGCTTAGGGTACTGAAGAAATTAATACATATTCCTTAATAAATATTCTTTTTCTTGAAAGAATTAATATCTGAAAAACAGTTAAGTCAAGCTTTCTCAGTTTCTAAAAGGAAAAGCCCCACCTTTAAGCCTTTTATTAATGTTTTTTCATATGTACTAGACAGAAAAAAAACAGAAGAAAGCTTGTGAATTTTTAACTTCCCAAGATTCCACTGTAATTGCAATTTTTTAAAATTCACAAATCCAAAATGAAACAAAATAACCCCAACCCCTAATGTTTTCCAGCAGAGCAAGCAAGTGCTGCCTTTAACACTCCTTAGACTGATAATGAGTTTTTAATAGACAATACTGCAAAGATCAGCTGACTTCACACAATGAAATTATGGGAAAAACTCCTGCTGGTAAATCACTTTTGATACTCAATCATCAATCAGTTGTGGCAATTTTGAGCTCTGCCTTACAGACAAAAAGCTGCCTTTAGTTTCCTCAGTTCAAGAATATTTAATTTTCACTGAAACCCAAACTATTTAAGACCTTGAAGAATTGAGGGTATTTTTAATGTACTTTTATAACTGGATGTGCAATTGATAGCAAAATAAAGATACCCACATATGTTTTAACAGACAATGTTAAAAGGTGTAGAGTCCTTAAGACTGCATTAGAAATAGACAGAAACTGGTCACTCTAAATCAAGAGTTTTCTATTTTTCATTGTTTGAGAAAAACACCAGTACAAATCAATGCAGATTTTCATTGCTAGGAAAATCTAAAAATGTCTATCTCTATTTATTTATATCTATGTATATCTTCATCTGGACCTGTCTGGGAAATAGAAATCCATAGAGAACACTTTTTCTCAGCACACAAAAATTGTTCACAATCATTAAAACCAAAACACCCTGTCTGAAGGACACAGTCATGCTTCCTCTTCCAATTCCTATTTTCCTTTCCCATTTTTTGAAGATTTCAGGATCTGTAGCTTCAATTCCTTTATCATCATCTCCAGCTTTTCCCGGGCCTCTCGTTCCTGTCTCAGTTCATCCTGGAGCTCCTGTCTATCTGCCTCTGCATGATCCAACCTCTGCCTCAACTCTGCCAGCTGTGAAACACAAGAGACACAGAGGCAGAGTAAATTTTAGCAAATATCAAAGGGTCACAGGTGGCCACTCTATACATCCAAATATTTCAATCCTCCAGAATTATGCGGTTATCAGGAATTGTGCACTTACCTGCTACACCATTAGAAACAATGTCAATGTGCAAAGTTGCATAAACATCATACTACAATTTAAAAAATGAGAAAATCTAATTTTTAAATGCATATAAGTTGTAGCTATATGAACTGTCACACCAGACTGTCAATAACACACAGAATCTGCAGGGAAAAATTGTGATGATGTTTGTATTGGATGTGTCACAAATCCCAGAACAAACTGCATTTTTTTCATTTCTCATGTCCCTTTCCCTTACCTGACAAAATATTACTTCCTTATTTCAAAGCCTGAATGTATTTCTAGAAGAAAAAAAAATCAACACTGTTTTCTGATATTCCTTAGTATAAATGAAACATTCAGAAAATCTTGAACATAACCATCTGTGTGTTTATGTGTATGTGTTCAAATATAAACCTGAGTCCACACAAGTGTTTTAGTGATATAATTTGTGTTTAAACACAGAAATTAAGTATTCTTTTCTTCTTTGGAATACAGCAAGATTCAAACTTGCTAGAATGTCACCAAAATTATTTACAGTGACATCTGGTAACATCTTTTTAAGTTAAGTGGGAAAGTTACTTATTGCTTATAGTATAATACCAGCAGTTAAAACAGGGAGACTGGAAAGCAGATATGCTCCTCCCATTGATTCATGGGGTTATTTCTTACTAAAAGACCACCCAATTTATTTATAATTTATTGTAATTTAATTCCATGTAAAAAAAAACCATCTGCCTTTATAATGATAGGTATCTACCTGATGTGCTTCATCACTCAGCATCCCTCTCACTGAGAATTAAGAAGACAACTCAGGAGAAGGAAAGAGCAGGAACATACAGGGTATTCCTGGTGTTCACCAAGTGCTACAGAATGTACTGAAGGGATGGCTGTGCTGGTTTTAGAGAAAGACCACATTTCATCCCCACTTCTTCAATCAGAAATACTTCAGCAGTTCGTAGCCAACAACAGGCTGTTAATGCAAGTCCTGACTGCTGCACAAGTGATGCAGTGAAGTGCTGCAGTGCAACAGTGCCCACTGCCTGCATGCTGCAACACGTCCCTGGCTTTGATTTCCAGCTCTAAGGAAAGGTTCCAGGACTGGTTATTCTGCCTTACTGTGGCTGACAGGGTGAAGCAAGTATTTCAATAAAGAAGTCAAAAAAGGGGACAAGACAGTGCATATTCAGGCAGGCCTAGAAAAGAGAAGAGACTTTTCAGCAAGCTGCAAATACCAAATTCTTAATTCTGTCTAATGCACAAGGATTCCTCGCAGTCCACAGTTCTCAGACAGAAAAGGCAGCCTGGGCAACTGCTTCAAGAGCACATCAGATTAAGGCTCTTTTAAAATGCTGTATACACAGCTTGGGCAAGTTCTCTGTTCCCAAGACCTCTCTTAACTCTGGTGCTTCTTGGAACCAGAATCTAGTGCAAGATGTGATAAATGGAAAAAATAAAAGTTCAAATTATACGTTGTGAATAGATCTAGCACAGAGGTAATAACAGAGTAAACTTTTACACAAGGAATATACGTAGTTTTCAAAGTCTGACTTCAAAAGAAACACACAACCAATCTCCTTGGGGAACAATCCACAGTTTTCACCCTCCAAAGGGAGTAAGCTGCACAAGCCCTATAAAACATGCTGTACATGATGATCTCCATAAATTAGAACATGTTGTTACTTGCACTAACAGGGCTTGTACCAGATGTTTAGTAAATCAGGCCTTAGTCAGAGAGGATTATTTCCGGCAGCAAAGGCCAGGAATCAGTGGAGTGGGATGTCATGAAATTAAATTCATGAGAAGGATTTACGATGCAAGTCTCTGCCCTACTCACCAAAAATACCAAAACCTGTCTCTCAAGTAGTGCCTGTTTCTCAGTTTGAGTCTGTCTGAACAGGAAATATACACAGTTGTGAACAAAGGACCACAGAGCTTTACTGAGCTCAAGTTTTAGGTTTTGTTCATTTTCTTTAAAATGAGCCTGTTAAGATTAGTTTTCTGTGATATGGTGCAAAATTTAAAAAAAAATTAATCATAACTACAGCTGATTTTTAAAAGAGGCATTCCAAGGTTCCCTTTATCATTAATTATATTTTTTCCCATTGGAATAACCTCCAACATAAAGAAGCAATAGTAAAAGCTAAAAGGAAAGTGAGGGAAAAAAACCAACTCCATAGGTTTTGACATATGAATCCAAGAGGCAAGAATGAGATACACCAATATGATTTTCATTTCCAAGAAAACTCTTGGCCCAATGTTTTGGTAGAGCCCAGAAGGGGCTCGTCAGATGCTGCAGAAGGTTCTACCACCAAGGAACATGAGGAGCAGCAAGGTATGCTACTAATCTGACAAAAAGAAGGTTCCAAGATTTGGAATTTATTTTTTTTTACATAAAATAATAATAATTCTGTATCATGGGAAAGCCCATATACATTAAAAACAGAATTTCTTTTAAATGAGGATGCAGCAGACCTCATATTTAAGTTTAATATTTCATCAATAATATCATATGTTTCTGTAAGTTACATTCTGCCTCAGTTTCAATCAAGGAACAGGAAAATAAATATTGCTGTCCCTGACCTATTTTGGTATCTGTCTGTGGTGTCAGAACACAGAGAGAAAATGAAACCTTCAGGTGGCTGAACAACAAATTCACAATTTCCTGAGACACTAAACATGTTTTGTTTGAAATAAACCTTCCCTTCTCACCTGTGCTGCATATTCAGCTTCTTTATCTTTTTCCAAATTGGAGTCACAGCTACATTTTTGCTTCATCACTTGGTCCAGTTTCTTCTCCAAGTCTCTCTGCTCAAAATAAAATTCTTCCATTCTTTGTGCATGCTCTGCTTGCAAACATTCGAGTTCTTTTTGTAAATTCTGCTGCTCTTCAGTCAGTTCCTTCATAGCTTTAGAGTTGCTTAACATTTCCACTTCCTGTAAAGAAAGATCAAAATCACATACTCCTTCCTCTTAACACCAGAAAAGTTAAAAAAATACTCAAAAGTGTTTCTGGAACCAATGAGGCAAAAAAGACTATTTGTAACTACCAATAACAACAGCCTGATAATGGTATTTATCTACTTATCAATGGCAGCATGCAATTCTGTGCCATGCTTCTAATTTTTAAGAAATTACTTCTACTTCCAAGTACAGGGAGCTTTCAGAAAAAAATTTGCATTTCCAGCAGTGAACCTCAGGAAGCAGAAGCACTGATTTACTAAAATATACTTTGAAGATGCAAGAGGTGTAGCACCATAAAACAAAATGAAGTGTTTGATTTCTTTGTCCACTGACATTTTGATATTTTTAAACCTGTAGTTTTTTTAAACTTATCTATAAGCTTTACCTCCAACAGCAGAACAAGTTTACAGCAGTAGCTCTAGGTCCCTATCTGAGCTCCTGGATTCTGAGGTTAACATTTAAATTAAAATAAAATAAATTAAAATATTAGGTCTGTTCCACGGATACAAGAAGCAAAGACAGTATTTAACTGAATTCAGAAAACAGAAATGCCACAAATGAACACCAGCATCTAAAATAATCCATTATTAAAGAAAAGACTAAAAATAAAATCCCTAAAAGCACAGCTTAGCAAATGGGAAGAGGAAAGTGGTGTTCTTTTTTATACAGGGCAGTGATAAGACCATTCCTTAGAATTCTGATGTCTGCATCTTCAAAAACCTGAAAACTGAGAAATTTTAGAGCATACAGCAAAAGCAGAAGCTCCTTGGACCCAGCAGCTGCAAATTGAAGAGACATCACTTATTAATAGGCTCAAAATCCATGAGCATAAGGGATACTGAAGATTTGGTGTCTGGATTTAAGCTGAGGGGAAGATGATCTGTGTGCTCTGGTGTTTCTAAATGATGCAATTTGGGATGCTGACTGTGGGGCCAGCAAGCCCACAGCAGCTCCCTGCTGCCCAGGGGGAAATGCACTCAGACTGCCACGGTACCATTTGGAGCTGCTGCTTCCTCCGCAGAATCGTGTTCAGCTTCTCCTGCTGCTTGATGTAGGTTTTCATGACTTCTTCCATGATCCTTCCCTTGTCATCCTCACAGCTGATGTCCTTCATGAGCGTGGGGGACAAGGTTCGTGCATCAGCACCTCCCTCAGCACGGCCAGAGTCCCTGGTGATTTTGGAAGAAACGCGCTCAGGCTTTGCACCTCTCGCAGAACGAGTCGACACGGGAGGATCTACACAGGAAAAACAGAGAACAATAATCACAGAAAGCTCAAATTCCAGAAAAAAATGCAAAGAAAACTGAGATCACAAAAAGGAGGAGGGAATTTTTGGAAACCTGAAGTGACATCACGAAATTCTAGCTCAGTGTAAAGCTCCCCAGAATTCCATGGTACAAAAATCAAAGCCTTCAATGTAATTTTCACCACTCACCTAAACGTTTATTTGGCTGCTCCACCCCAGTTTTCAAGTCAATTTTTTCCTGTTCTTCAAGAGAAACCTCTGGATAGGAGGCAGGTTTTTTGTGCTTTCCACTACTGAGCTTCTTCTCTGACTGCCCAGGTGAGGATTTATTAACTTCTGAAGCTTTTACTGATGTTTTTGCAACATCCTTATACTGAGATGCAAGAGACACATTCGGGGCAACCACTTTATCACACATATAAAGGTAGTAACTGAAAAAACAGCAGAAGAGTAAAATTAATAGTGAAAGACATAATAAATGATGGCTGGTTGAGAGCAGTAAGTTTAATTTAACACGAGTTCAAACTGTGAAAGCATCAATGAAAAATAAGCACATAGTTTTTTAAATTTTTCCTATGCAAATGGAAAGCCTAACAAGCCACTTAATCTCTACTGAGTAGATTACCTAGATAAGGTTTTGAGCCTATCAAACAAGTAGATTTTTCAAATATGGCTGATTTTAAAAAATTACAGTAAATCATATGAAGGCTTCATTTAAATGCAAACAGTGAAATTAGAACGCCACTGAATCCAGAGTCTCCAGCATTTTCATAATCCTTGTATTATGAGGATGGGAGATGATCAGTGAAGTGGGAATGAGCACCTCACTTAAGTAACAAAGCTGTTTTCTAACAGTCCTGGGGTGTTGTGATGAACTCTCTGTGTGTGGAGACACAAGGCTTGACTCCATTTTTCTCAGAAGGCTGATTTATTATGTTATATATTATATTAAAATACTACATAAAAACTATACTAAAAGAATACAGAGAAAAGAAAGATCAGAAGGCTACAAAGAACAAGAATAGAATAGAATGCATAACAAAAATCCTGTGACTGCTCACAGCCTTGGCACAGGTGGCTGTGACTGGTCATCAATTGAAAACAATCCACATGGACCAATGGAAGATGCACCTGTTGCATTCCACAGCAGCAGATAGTTATTGTTTACATTTCTTTCCTGAGGCTCCTAGCTCCTCAGGAGGGAAAAAATCCTAGGAAAGGATTTTTAATAAAATATCATAGCTACACTGGGGCACATCTGAGACCAACGCTGGACCTTCCTTCCCAGGTACACTGAGCTGCCCATTCGGATTTTCACAGCTCCTGGACTCCTGGGAGCATCCCTGTGTCCCACCTTCACCTCAGCCTAGTACAGAGGGAAGAGAGCCCCAGGTGTGTTCAGGTCAGTGCCACGATCACCAGTGCCACTGGAGCTCCAATTGATGCCTTCAACACTTCCCTTTCTCCAGGTTCTGAAGGAAGGCACTGGCAGAACAGAACATCAGGGCCCATCACAGAAGTTCCTCCACTCCCTTCTTTGCGTGGGAACCAGTGTGATGTGTGTGCACCAAAAAGGGCCTGCTCTGACCCAAATTCAGGACCTGTGCAACCACAGGGGGTGAGGACAAGAGGAGTATCAAGAAAAACCATTTCCCTCACTGCTGCAGGTGACAAACTGGATAAGGAGTCAAGGAAATGCACTTGGTTTCTAAAACCAGGAAACCAGCCCACAGACAATTCAGCTGCAGCCCAGTTCCACTGTGGAAGAAAGCCTTCAGACATCTCTTGGAAATCTTTTCTGAAAGGAAATTAAGTTGTCCTCATGGTAAATAGGCCCTGTGCAGCTTTCCATATGTATGCATTGTATTACAATATGAAAGATCAAAAGTTACCTCTGTCATTTCTACTAAGAAAGAGGAAATTTTAATTACATTTCAATTGTATTGCCTGCTGAAGAACACCCACAGGACACAGCTTGAGTCCTACAACAAGAAACACTCATAAGCAGTTCATTAGTTTTTACACTAAGAAATACATAAAAATTTAGGGTTAAATCATTCCTGTGTCATACCTTAAGAGTATTCCTAACAGTTCAGGTTGCAAATACATTTTTTTCAGTTTGAATTATCCCTAAATAGTCAAAAGTATTTAATACTTGTCAGTGCTTATAGTTCTACCTAGGAAACTCAAGTTACCTGGGGTGGAAAAAGGAAGGTGGTTGAGGATCAGTTTCTGCTTCTTGCTTTATAACTGGATACCACTGTGGTAATTCCAGGTTCTGCTGTGGCTCTGCCTAAAGGAAAGAAAATAAATTGGTAATTGAAATATGGATACAGGTTATTTACATTTCATAAACACTCCTCAGAGATATGGCATTTACACCATTTAATACAGGTACACCAGAGAAACTGGGGCACTGGGAAATGGGGTGTCTTTGGCAAAGATGCAGGGTGATGCAAGCCACAGAATTCTTTGATCTCCAATTTACCACTGTGGGCAAAAGAGCAATGAAATTAAAGGAAAACGTCTTTACAGACCTATCTAAAAGCTCTGCTGAGTTTCCAAAACTCTTCTAAACAAGTCTGGGAGAAACAGAAAGCAGAAACTAGGATTCCCAAAAGGTTGGAGGAGCCTTTTGTAATAATGTGTCTATATAAAGTAAGCACCTGCCAGATACTTTATTTCAAAATTAAATGGAACAGCGTGCTGGTGTTCCAGGGACAGAACTTTCTTCAGTCATCACAAATTTTTATTACACAGTAGGCAATACTGCTCCCAGTAGCATGAAAATGCCATTCCCTTTGCAGTAGCAAACAAAATGTACCTAGGTGCATCAGAATATATAATCTTAAAAACTTCTGGGTATTTTGCATTTGGAAAGCAATTCTTGTTCTGTGTCTCAAGAAATGTTTTTGGAACTACTCTGTACTCAAAATTCCTGGTGATACTTTGTGCTCCCCTGCGAAATTGCTCTTAATTTCAAGTGAAAGATGTCTCACCATAATATATTTACAATATTCTCATAGTTCAGAAATGGAATGATAATTTCACTGTATTGGAACAGCCTTGGGACATGGGGGTTTGGGTAGGGTGTGGTTGGCTGACCCCAGGCCAAGCACCCACAGAGCTGCTCCCTCAGCACCATCCCCAGGGCATGGAAGGGAAAAGAGCAAGAAAGCTCCTGGATGAAGATAAAGCTGGTTTAAGAGGTGAAGGAAAGATGAAAAACACAAGTGAAGCAAAGGGCATGGCGCAGTCTCTCCCTGAGACAACCGCCCAGCCACCCTCAAACAGCCTCCACTTGGATGCCAAACCCTCTTTCTTCTCCTTCTATCCCAGGTTTTATTGCAGTAGCCAGAACACTGGCATGTTAGCCACAGTTTTAGCCACAAATCCAAAGCCCAGCACCATACAGGCTGCTACAAAGTAAGTCAACATCATTCCAGCCAGACCCAGTACCTCTGACAAGCTGCCCAATTAAAAAACAGCCCATAAAGCTAAAAAAGTTACATAATCCTGTATTGAAACCTTTATGTAGTGTTCTAATATCTTCACAACTTCTTATGTGCTACATTATCAGAAAAGTTTGTATTTACACACCCTGGAATAAACCTTTAGAGAACCTTTTGATCCCTGGCAGTGACCTGAGCCATGGTCTGCACAATCCAACAACCCTGACCCTGGCAGGGAGCAAACCCCACCTGCCCCATCCTGACCCAAACTCCCACCCCAGGAAACTCAGCTCTCACAATGAAACTGAAATTCAACTCCACCCCTGCAGCTCCTCAAATCGCTTCCAACACAGAAAGGAGGGAGGGCACAAGGAAGAGAGGCTCTGGAGTTGTAAATTCATAAAAAGGCTTTAAATAAAAAAGATTTGAGTAATCTTTAGAAAAACGGCCTCATCCTGACACTTGCCAAGTTTTTTCTACTTACTCATATCATTTCAATAATTTAAATAATCGCATATAATCTACTTATACTGCAGCTAGTATGCAGTGATCTGATTTTTGCTTCAGATCACATCTGTCCATATTTCAGGACTCACATTTTAACATGCTTATATATTTACATATGAAATTATCAGGTCATCTCTATTTTCAAATTACTAGGTCAGATTTTTGCTTTTTCTTTTTTTTTACCTATTTTAAGTGGAAACTGAATTTACTGCCTACCCGTTAGTGTGAATCTTGCAAATGCATCTTATAGAATGCAATCAAATTTTTATTTAGGAAAGAAAATGAAATGTTACCATAAATAAACAAAGTCTTTTTCTAACAGGATTCTTCCCTCACTGTTCAGGTAAATGAAATAAGGCATCTATGTATATATATATGTCTATTTCATTACCCAACAATCTGCTTATTTTAGATGCTCTTAAGTAATTCTATAAACACAGTAAGTTGAATTGAATGACTTCTACTCAAACTGTTAAAAAGGGTTACATGAAAAATTACATGTTTTTCTTCAAGGCTAGTTGGACAAAGCTGTTCTTTAAGGAAAAAAAAATATATAGGTAAGTAATGGTTTCAGTGTAATCATAAAGCCAGTAGTTTTAGTAGAGATTGGATTTATAAAACCCCCACCCTGTGAGATTTCCCCCACACACTGTGACCAGCTCAAGGAATCAGCCTGAGAAGCAAGGCAAAGTTTTAGTGCAGAGATGATGAGAAACTGTCGCAAAGTCAAAGGGAACAAGGATCTGTCAGTGCAGGAATCAGCAGAGACTCGGTGACAGCTGTTCCATGAAGAGCAGGTGGATGTTGCACTGCAGCCTAGAACTCCACAGAAAATTGTGACAATCAAGCACACAGCTTACAGCTTTCTTGTTAGCACAAAGAACAGAAAGGAATTAATCTCAAGAGTACTTTGCTCTTAAAATATTGAAACAAAAGTGTATTTGCACTGTGGGGTGAATAAACTCAGAGTGAAATGCTAAGGAGAAAGGCAAAGCTTGGCATCCAGGATGCTCCACAGACTATGGGATTTAATTAATTCATTATTACTAGATGGGGAAAGACCTAGCCAAGGGCAGCTGTTCTTTGTGGGTCCTCCAAGACAACCACAAAGGATGTGTCAGCATTTCTGACTACTGACTCAGCAGAGGTGGTGAGGAGGTGACAGAACAGCAAACAGAACATCCTGCAAATAAATTCCCCTAGGAGTGTAAGGAAAGGGAATGTCTACGTGTTGTACCTGATACCTCTCCCACAACACAGAAATGAGGAAAAGAAGTTGTGGCTGTTCCATCCCTGGAGCTGCTCAAGGTCAGGCTGGATGGAGCTGTGAGCAATCTGGTCTGGGGAAAGGTGTCCCTGTCCAGGCCAGGGTGGGGAATGAGATGATCTTTAAGGTCCCTTCTAACCTAAACCATTCTGTGATTCTATGAAAAGACAACTGAAGCAGCCTAAGTTCCCCCAGGACAAGGAAAGGGAAAGTGTAGTCCAGCACTGCCCTCTTAAACTTTTTTTACTCTTTTCTACTTCCCAGATGAATATCCACAGGATGAAAAAAAAAACCCAAAACCTCCCTCACCATTGATTTTGCTCAGGTTTCTACAGCTTCTGACTCTGGTTTCACACATTGCTTTGTAAGAAAGAGCTACACAGGTCTGCAACAGAAGACTGCAGAAAGTTTTACAATTTCATTTGCATCAGTCCAGTCCAAATTAGTGCCACTGTTCATTTCAGCTGGGTTTTTTTCATCTTTGCAGATGAAACTGAAAGATCTCATTATCTGAAATCTGCTGCTGTGGGCAGAAAAGCACCATTTATAGGTGTGAACATGGAAGAGTATTTCCACTGATGCATCCACCATGCTGTAGTTCATTTCTTACACTGGCATTGCAAGAATAAAGACTGACATGTCTTTATCAGTTGAAAAGCAAAGTCTCTTTGCTAGGAGACTGCATCTTCAAATAATTCAGCATGTGGAAGCATGCCATACTGCAGACTTCCATGGGAATCTGCTGGTAAAATCTCTTCCTGCAGACTGGCACCACTGTAACAATACCTGTTACTACAGTCAGCCTTCCTGCAACACCAACTTTTCAGAAATTTGTGCTGAAAGGTGTCAGCTCACAGCACCCCTTTTTGGGCTCAACCATCTGTGCTGCTCTTGCTGCTATTTTGAAATCCACACCACAAAACATCCAACAGGCAACATGGATTTATCAAACCAGCAGCCATCAAACAGACATAGAAACACTGAATACACTGAAAAGAAACTGTCATGGGGCAGAAACCATTAAAAGCCTATTAAAGTTTATACCCCAAAATTGTGTTTTCTATGAATGGGAACATTTATGATATTAATGTTTCTTTGCTGCTTGTCCTATTATTTAAAGTAGAAGCTCTCCAAGGGACAAAAAAGCTCTGTATTTTGGAACCACAGCACAGACTTGCAGCAGTATTTTAGGAAAAAATAAGATGTCTATTATTAACTATTGTCAAGATACCGGCCCACAGCTCATTACTTGGGCTGCTTAAAACCCCCTCTTTTTGGCATATTTCACTGCACAAGTGGTTTAAACAGAAAGCTCTTGCTGAACAAGCAGACTTTGGGCTTCTAAATAGCCATTTAGCAAAGCACCACTACCCTGCACACAAGTCATGAGATGGGTGGCCAGCAAGCCAGGTTGCCATCCAGCCCACGTGTGCATGCTGGAGTACAAATAACAAATGAAGAATTCCTTTGTAATACTTGATTTTCAAGCTCCTTTCTGCTTTGCTCAGCTGCTGCAGCACACGCTGCATAAAATCTACTCAAAGGTCAAATGGGAGAACGAAAATTTTCACAATAGCCTGAATTTTCCAGAGTCTGTATACCTTAGGACAGAACAAGAACCAACAAAGCCAAGCCAGCTTGAATGGTTACTTGCAGCCCAAAGAGGAAAGAAATTACCACCCCTCTTAATCAGAAATGTTATTTCCATGGTGAAGCCCTCACAAATTTAACTTAGGTTTGATGTGACAAGTATTCCCACTTAGAAAAGCGAAGTAATGTGCTTCTAAAACAAGTATTTACATGTGAGCAGAAAGAGATCTGGGAATTTTACACCAGGTGAACTTACTTTGGACCGAGTTCTTTTCTGATTTTTCTCGCTGAATTTCTCCTTCATTTCCTCCAAGAGATGCTTCAGCTCTCTCTCCTCTGACGTGCCCAGGTATTTTTGGTTAATGTGCAGGTAGCAGTGCCACTTGGCCGACTCAAACCCCCAGTGGCAGGTCCTCTTGTCCGGGGATCTGTGTGAATGCATCACGAAGGTCTGGGGTGAGAACATCCCGTAGCATTCCAAGCACTGGATACACGGATCATCCGGGGCAAGGTAGAACTGAGGTGCAAACAACCCCTGGCACTTGCCCAGGCACTCATGCTCTACTTCGAAGGCACTGCCAGTCTCTTTCAGCTGGGCCAAGGTGTTCTTACCAGGGAGGAAACTGCCACTTTGGGGAAAAGTGCGAGGGCGCAGTAAAGCATTGCATAGTCTCTGAGCGTCCGTCAGCGTGATGAGCCCACAGGACGGCGCGTTGAACGGAAGAATTCCCAAAACCTTCAGAATGTGAAGCTGGTCAGAAGTGCACCTTGAGCAGTAGATATAGAGCTCATCACACACCGTGTTGATCTGCTGCAAGGAGAAGTCTCGGAGAACCGAATTCAACACTTGAGGCAGGCAAAGTCTTTTTTCTCCTCCGACTTTAAAACAAGAGATGGATTCCCCCTCCAGCAGGGTCTGCGTGAGTTCCGTGGAGCTGTCTGGGGGGATGAGCAGCGGACCAGAGAGGATTTGTGGTGATGGGAGAGGCAGGAAGACAGTGGGTGACATACTTTCCTGGGAATACCGAGCTGAAAAAGCTGCAGGTCCACCCAGTGAACTCTGGCTGCTTAGGTGGAACTGTGCCAACGTGTGTTTCAAACCTGGATTTAAACTCAAAGGCTCAGATAGTGAAGCACTGTTTGGCTTGGTGGTTTCCCCATCAGCCTCCACCGGAGTTTCATCATAGTCATCCAGGTTTTCCTTCTTTATTGTTGGCAATTTATTTATTACTACCTGTACTTTGTTATTTACATGCATTTCTGTCATTGCTTTTTTCAGTGGAGGACTCCCATCCTCTTGGATCCTGCTCCTTTTTTGGTCTGAAACCAGACCTAGAGGGAAGTTTATCTGTGGGCTTTCCATTGCTAAACACTGAGCTTTAATTAAGCCAGTCCTGAATGTGCATTTTCTTGCTTTTTCATATAAAAAATAGTTTCATGTGATCTTGGATTACCTCAGGTACACCAAGCTGCACACTCCTTTCATTAAAACATCACTTCTTCAGCATCCAACAGTAAAAACTGTAACCCATTTTGCATGTAATACCACAAAATTACTAATGGAGAGGTTACACTATTTTCTTAGTTATTTGTTCAATTTTATAATATAAAAACCCCAATGCAATATGTATACAAAAGGTTTTCTTCATACCCTAGCCACTACTTTACACAGTAGTCTTGTCCAGCAATTTAGTAAAAAACGATGCGCTGATGCGTGTTCATCCTCAATCGTTTTTTTCCTTTAAAAAATATACTGTCTTTTCAAATAAGTCTCTATTTAAATATTAAAATAGAAAAATGGGCTCAGTTAGAAGAACGTCAATCTTAACGAAACTGATCCAAAACGTAGTTTAAGTTGTGTGAAAATTTTATTCAGCACTTTCAGCTCCCAGAGATCAAACACAATCTTAAGGGCTTGCTTTATTGTGCTGCCAGCTTTATGATTTCACCACCACCACCGTGACAGCTACTATGGCAGTTCACAAATAAATCCTGAAATTAAAGGCTGATCCAGATCGACGGCAAAAACTAAACGTCCCTAGAGAGTCACCTTTCGCCCAGATGTCACTGGCGTGTGTCAGAATTTTCCCAGCCCAAGTTATTAGTAATAGAGGTGAGATCCAGGCCATGGGCTGAATGCATGCCGTGTGCTAGCACAGAGTTCTGCCCGTCCTTCCTGATAACCTGTGAAAGAGAGAGAGGCCATCACAAGCAATCTCAGAGTTTGTTCTGTACCTAAAGGGGCTTCAAGACAGCTGGAGAGGGACTTCTGACAAGGGCAAAAGTGTGACAGGAGTCACAGGACAAGTGGGAATGGCTTTAAACTGAGAGAGAGAAGGTTTTGATTTGATAGAAGGAAGAAATTATTCTCTGTAAAAGCAGCAGTGAGGTACTGGCACAGGTTGCCCAGGGAAGTTGTGGCTGCCCCATCCCTGGAAGTGTCATAGGCCAGGTTGGACAGGGCTTGGAGCAGCCGGGAATAGTGGAAGGCGTTCCTGCCCATGGCGGGGGTTGGAATGAGATGGGCTTTAAGGCCCCCTGCCACCCAAACCATCCGGGATTCCCTGCCAGAGGCAGGGTGCGTTTCCCAGTAACTCGCGGAACACCGGGACGAGCCCCGACCGACGGGCGATACCGGCGGGGGAGGGGGCGGTCCGGAGCGGCTCTCCCGGCGTGCACGCCCGAAAGGACGGGCGCTCCGGCGAGCCGCGGGCCGGGCACCGGCCCCCCCATCCCGGGCACCGACCCCTCGCCCCGCAGCCCCTCCCGGGACGCCGCACGCCGCCGCTCCCTCCCGCGCCGTGACTCACCCCGGCGCCGCCGGCACCGCTCCGGGCACGGCTCAGCCCTTCCCCCTCCCGCCGCCGGGCTCGCCCCTCCGCCCTGCCCGGCTCCCCGCTGTCCCCAGCCGTACCGCGCCGCTCCGCCGCCCCCGTGTCCCTGGCCCCCTCCCATCCCCGGTACCCCGCTCCCCCTCTCCCCGCCGCCCCCGCGCCCCCCCTCCGCAGCCCCCGCCTATATATATATATATATATATATATATATAAAATATACGTTTAAAAGTGAGTGTACATGGAAAAGTGTTGTTTCTGCCCAGCTTCCCCTCAGCCCGCCCGGTCAGACCCTGCCCCGCGCCGCCCTGTCGCCGTTCCCCCGTCGGCGGCCGAGAGGGGCCGGCTGAGGGACGGGGACGCAGCGGCAGCTGGGGCGGGGGAGGGAGAGCGGCCATGGCAGGAGGGGAAAAGCCTGGCGGGAGGAGGGCCAGGCGCTGTCGGGGAGCTGTCGTGTCGCTCGCCTGAGGCGCGACGGCGGCGGCGGGCAGAGGCGGCCAGCGAGGGGCTCTCCGTGACTGTCCCTCAGTGACTGTCCCGCGGAGAGGCTCCCGCAAAGAGGATCCCTCACTGGCTGTCCCTCAGAGAAGGTCGCTCAGTGAAAATCCCTTAGTGACTGTCCCTCCAAGAGCGTCCCCCGGCAAGGGTCTCACAGTGACTGTCCCCCAGCGAGGGTCCCCACGAGGGTCCCCAGTGGCCTGGCACCCCGCTGCTGGGGACGGGGAAGGCGGGTCAGTGTGAGGGTGCCTGTCCCCGAAGCAGTGTCACAGACCGCTCCCTCCAGCCACGGGCTCGCAGGAGATGTTTTGGGAAGCGAAATGATCAAAGCGCGGAGAGGAGGGGAAGATGCTCTTCGGGGACAGCTTAGTCGCTGTACAACTCGTTCGTGTATTACAAGTTTCTTCTGCCTGCAAGAAGCCCAAAGCTTTTCAGTTTACATCTCTGTGAAGACAGCGCTTCTGCTGGGATTACGGCGCAATCCAATTTGCCGTTTCCTTTCATCCCACACAGTTACATATTTTGATGCGAGTACAAAAGCACGGCACATGAAAATGGGGCAGTTGTACAAGCACCAGGCACCGCTTAGCACCGGGCAGCGCCGGGATCCCTAATGCCATCCCAGGAGGATTACGGCACAGCCACAGAACGCTGCTGATCTGCTGGGAGAGGCTTTTGGTGCTCTTTAATCCTTGATTTCGCACCTTTGATATGCTCAGGTTTCCTCCGGGCTGGCTCGCTGATGGAGAGGCCCTTGAGCATCACTGCAAAGCTGCTTCAGGAGTCGCCTCAGCTCGCACTTAAACCACCTCATCAGTTGCACTATCTGCAACAATATCTACAATATCTTTCGATCTCAGTGATCTTTAAGACCTCTTCCAACCCAAATCACTAGGGTTTAATAGAAAAGCAAACATTTTTGCAAAGAATACTAACACCCACTACTTATTTATTAAGCAGATGTAAGGGCTGCTTAAAAGCCACAATATGGCAGCATTAAACAAGATTTCTGAATGCACCAGCTTTTGGAGCTGATTCTGAAAGATATGAACCTATGAGTGAATTGTCTAGACACACAGACATTCCAGTCTGCTTCACCCTCTTGGACTTTATTACCTGATTAAAAAAAAAAAAAAAAAAAAAAGTCTCTTCAAATACCAATCAGTGAAATGCACTATGTCATAATCCCTTTCGAATTTACTGAAGAAAATGTAACATCTAACATTGGAGCTGGACTGATCAGTGTCTGTGAGGAAGGCAACATATGTAGGCAGGTATTCCATCTTTTATTAGACCTCTTGATGTCACGGAACCTTAGGATTCAGTAGCATTGTTTAATTTTTTTTTTTTTTTTTTTTTTTTTTCAGGTTCTGCAGCAGAAATGTTCCATTTCAGGTTACAAATCTTGGTAACTATTGTGCTGTAATGATAGTGTTGCTATAGAGCTACAATAATCAGGCGATGGAAGACAAAGTTTGTAGGTAGAGAATTGTCTAAAAAAAGGTGTTAGCTCTGCCTACAGCTTCTACTGTGGACTGTGAAAAGCAGTTCTGAAGACACTGCGCAGCTAAAACCTGAGTTACAGACCTTTGCAAGTGGCAATAAAGTGCAATAATAGCACAGGAGGAATCTTGCTTTGATTAATAAAGTGTGAATTTTCAAGAAGTGCTGAGGCTCTAGGGAAGCTCACAAACTTCCCTGATACACAGTCCCTGAAGATACACAATTTAACTACAAACTATGCCCTGGAGAGCACAATTTAACTGTGAACAAAGATGCACATTTTCTTCTCTGATGAGATTACACTGTGCTTTTCAAAGAAAAAAAAAAATCACTTTGGAAGTCATGTTTAATAGTAAGTTGTAACAGTTCAGACTCTTAGCTGATCTGTCATGGGAGGTTTCACTCTTGTAAAACAGATATCCTATTACAGGTTGTGTTTTAAGCACAAAAAGTTGATAGATTTTGCAGACACCACATCCTGCAGGACAAGTCACAGTGGGGACAGTGCACAAAACACTTCAGCTCCTGAAGGACCTGAGCTATTCCTCTGATGTAAGAGGAGTATATGCCCAGACACTTTACTCATCCTTAGAAGTCCAATGTGGACACAAGAGATTCCTGGTTCTATTTATGCCTGAAAAAGCCACCTCCCACCAAAGCTGCACAGACCTGGGATGTAGATGCTGCTCTGCCTTCAATCATTGGTGATTAAATGGTAAGAGTTCACCTTTCAAGTATTCAGTCCAGATCCCTTTATTATAAGCAGGAAAAAAAATTAAAATAAACCCATGGGGGATCTCTTTGACAAAAAAAAAGCGAGATATGGTAAAATCTGTTTTTTCTCAAAGGGGCTCCAATGCCTACCTTCTCTCTTCCCAGGAAAACATCATTATTCTGTGGTCAGTTGCAGACACCTCTGTTGCTTCAACGCCTTACACCATCCACGCTGAAGCGAGGACGCTTGCTTAGCACTTACCAAGCGTATGTATGGATTATCCAAGCTATTAGCTTCCTCCATAGAGTGCCTCAGCATAAACAATTGCTCAGACTGAGGCGAGAGCAGCTGGGCACCCAACTGAACAGAGAGAGGGAGCGTGCGTGGGGGGAGGTTAAGCATGTAAGATATGCAGCCATCTGCAGCACTCGCCAGGATTGCCGACGCACAGCCGTGCTAACCGGCAAGACAAAAATCTCTTTTAAAAGATACTGAAATACAGAAATTAAACCACTGCATCTGTGGCAGGCTATGAGCTAAGTGCCATCACCCTCTGTGTCAGAAATCTGAGAATGCAGGGGAGGAGTTGAAGAAACAAAGAAATAAATCATGCAGAAGTAAGTGCAGCAGACGAGAGCGAGAGCGTTGCTCTGAACTCCAAATCCCAGCGCTGGCAGCTGAGATGACGTTGTACAAGTTCCAGCTGAAAGAGCCCTTGGACGAGCAGGCTAAAGTAGCATTTTGTATTTTCCTTTAAGATTTCTGTCTCTGTGCACAGGACTGATGCCTCACTGCTTTTGCCTCATCACTGGTGTTGGAAGGAAAGACAGAACCTACAAGGATGGTATTATTCCAAAGGACAAGATGAGCATGAGGCTGGGGAGTGATGCTGGAGCACAACCTGCATTCTCAGACACGTTTAGTAAATGCAGGGTGAGAAAGGCATTTCTTGGGTTGCTGTGGCCCATCCCAGTGCAATTTTCTATAAGAAATGAAAATATTAGAACAAGGCTCCCATGGGATATGGACAATTTAAAAGGGTCAGATGATGATCCCAAGACCAGCATTTCACAGTATTTCTCTGAGATTTTAACACACAGAGGTCTAATATAAATGTTTTATTTAAAGTAAAAAGTGTGCACAAATAAAGGAAATGATTACACAACAACGTACAAGACCATAATCCACATGAAACAGGAAAAAAGTAGTGACAATATTAACTAGCAGAGCACCCATAGGAATCCAACTCGTGTACAAAAAAGAGGTTACTCCATAGAAATACATCATGCTTCTGATGCAGACACGTTCTGCAAAAAACAAAAACTACTGCACTGGACTGTTTACACCCAATATCCCTTCTGAATATTTATGACAATTTCTGTATGCTTAACAATGAAAAATAACAGTTAATATCATGGCACTTTGGAGAAAATTAAAGTTTAAAAATGGATTTACTGTAATTTAAGATATTTGTCACTTTGCAACATTCTTAATGGTTAGATATGTAAATAGAAAAAGTATTTTTCTATGACATTATAAAAAAAATTAACTTTTGCTTTACTCTTCTGTGCTGAATGGCAGAAATGTCCTTCCTTACATAAAGCCATTTCCCTTAATACCTTATAGGAAATTATGCCACTGTAGAGACAAGGCTTTTCTTGTTTGCTTTAAATGATTCCCAGGTTTACTATCAGTTATGCCCTAATGTCTAAACTGATCATGTGGGTACAGGAGTCAGAGGCTAAACAATCACCATTTTCAAGCTGCATGCAGAGCAGTTCACTTGACCCCATTAGCTGCTCTTTAAAGGAAGGTTCTTTAAAGAACTCTGATATTTTACATTTGAAAAGATGCAGCTTGAATTTAAGGAAACCTGATTTTTAACAGCGAGGTGGTTCAGTGCTTCACTGAAACTGAAGCCCCTCAAATCACTTCTCAGTTTTGGAAACTCAGCCCAATACTAAAGAGTTTCCTATTCACATTGCAAAGAAAAACATGAACTAAATCTCATACCATGACACCAGTGTGGATGTGTGCAATCTCTCTGCTTGCAGCTGACATGGAAGTGAACAGACATACACAGAAAACTTGTGCTATGAAATTAGTGTTGCCATACAAGAATTTTCACAGAAAGACACTGGCCAAGCAAAAATCTACCAAAAGCTTCAGGTAATGTTTGCCAACTTGTGCTTACAGATTCTCAGATCTGCTTTCAGTGATGCTTATCTTCTCTTACAGCTCTTACATAACACAGATTCCTTTCCTCAGTGTCTCTTAATCCCTTTTCCCCAAAATAATAATAAAAAAGTGGTACATTTCTTTAGCCCAACACATTCATAACT